TTGAACTGCTAAAATAAGATTCTGTGGTTAGCACTGCGTACATGAGACAGCCAGCTATGACTACAAATATATTATATATATTACCTCGCAATATTTTGCAAAAGTATTACAGGCGTAATTGACACAGAATGCACCAGATATAGTTGTGGCACTGAAAGAAGTTCTAGAACACTTACTACAATATATTTTGTGTGATCAAGGCACATTCAAAATAACCGAAGAATGGACAGGCATAACTGGCTGAAACAAGCCGGGCCCAGACCTTTCGGGCTTGGGCCGGGTACAGATCGAACTTAAAAACACCAGACCGGGTTTGGCGGGCCGGAGCATGAAGTTTTCGGGCCGGGCCGGGCTCAGGCCGGAAAAATCGGCCCGTGCAGTGCTCTAGCTTGTACCTTGTACAATCACTGTCGTCAAACCATCACCGAGTGCAACATCCAGCTCTCAGCGGACGAAAAACGAGCTCACTTGCACTGTGCTCGATTGCTACTGCTGCAGCAGGAGCAACATGTCACAATTTTGTCGACATGCATGCAGCATCATGTGCAGCAAATGCCATCGTCGACATTTGACGATCCTGTGTTAATTGTCTCGATCTGTTGCACAAACTCGTACCAACGCAATGACATTGAATCAGGACGAGCCTCGCATCACAAATTGAGCCACAAACACGCCTTTAGTGACATCTGCCTCAAGCCCCCTGAGCAGGAGCAATGCTGTCCTATTGCAAACAGGACGGGTGTGAACTGAGTGCGGGTCATGAAAATGTCTTGCAAGCGTTCTTTTTGACAGCAGCAGCCAGCACACATTTATTAGAGTGGACCTCTCAGGTACCTTAGATGCCTGGTTATCAGAACCACAGAACTCTCTTTGGTTACGTTCGGCCACTCGAATCCCGCTAAGTAAGGCGCACTTGAAGGGTAGCTTTGACTCTTTCAGGCAAACGTAGCGACACAGCCGTAACCGTGGAAGCCTTGGAGGAGCTTGATGTGTGGATGACCACAAGCCCACCGATCACCAGTACTGTCCTGGGACTCATTCGCGAGAACTTTGACATCGCAAACAACTGTCATTTCAACACATGGCGCCCACAGGAAATAAGTGAGCTGCATGGGTCCGACGTCTAATGGAAGGTAGCAACTGGAAGAATAGATCGCTTGTCTAGTGATCTGACGGACGTGAAACCAAGTTTGGAAGGACAGCTCAGAGAACAATAAAAGCAGCGGAAAATTCACGTACCAGCACTTTATTTCTGAGCTGCAGCACGAATTCCCTTCATGACTGTGATCCTTCTGTGATGTGGCATTTGGACATCAAAGACAAGCCATCTTTTAAGAAAAAGACTAGGCTCCAATGGTACTTCAAGCATTTTAACCGGCCATAATCAAGTTAGATGTGCGCTACAAGGTTCCCCTGAAACCACAAGTTTCAGGGATACATTGAGGCAGCGATAATCAAAGATTAGGTGAAGGCTATCTGCAAGTGCAATCTGACTGGTTCAAAGAGCATACTGAACTGTTGAGTCACGGTGGCGCGGCAATCACAGCAGAGTTTAGGGAAGAACAGAGAATCCAATTTGAAGTACCACAGCCACAAGAGGATGTCTATTTAGTAGACTTGTGCGAATCGTGAACTTTAGGTTCTTAAGGTTCGGAGCGAACTCTAGGTTCGGAGCGAGCTTGAAGCGAATAGTGATTTGATCAAGTCATTTTGAATAGTATATACCACATATTATGAAAAAAATGGAGGGGGATATTTCTTATGACCAAACTAGTCTGCACAATATTTATTAGGAAATTGAAACAACGAATATGCAAATGCCATTCTCTCCGTTCATAGGGAAGGGAAACTACAACTTGGCATAGTAGCAGGATGTGACTTTCGGTGGGATGCAAGCAAACCTGTAATATATATTACGTTGTAAAATTTACCATACTTAGAGCATATAAGCTGATATAACAAGCTTTAAACGCAAAAAAGGATTATTCGATGTGACTGTTCATTCAACCTTGAAGTGAGGCTTCGCGGCAGAGTGGATTTCCCCTGGGCGTACTTACGGTATAGCACCGCTCCACTGCAGTGAAAGCACCTTTACATTGAATTACATGCCGATTAATATATTACTTTTTGTTTATTTCGAATACTTTGAAATTTTCAATAACTTCAATTGAAATCCAAGCGAATCTGAATTGCAGTAATATTCGTTTGAATATTCGCACAAGTCCAGAAATTATTATATCTTGTGCTGCCTTTTCATTTGTATGTTTCTTGCACGACCAGTTCATGAAGGAATAATCCATCAATAGGCCTTCCTTGCAAAAGAGGCCAAATTTCAATAAGATCCGACGACCATGGTGCTCGACTGCCGCCTTGAAAGATGCGAGTTTGAACCTGGCTGCAGTGATCGTGTCTCGATGGAAGTGAAATGCTGGAGGCCTGTGCACTGTGTGATTTCAGTGCGCAATTAAAAGGGCCCTGCAACAATTTTTTGGCATGGTCAGAAAACACTGCTGATAGGTAGTAGAGGCTTCCGAGAACAAGCAGGCCAAATGTGAAAGCGCAGCATGCGGCCTGGAATTCACAATAAATTATCAAATTCAGCTGAAAATTGCTTTCTCTTCCCTCGACAGATGACAGAAGGTGCTCAAAAATCACACGTAGATTGCCCATCTACCAGCCGTTGGCTGATTTGAACATAGCGCGCTCGATCGTTAGACAGATCGCCGCAGGAGGCCATCACTTGTCCACGCATGCATGTGCGATCGCACTAAGAAAGCTGTGTATTCGAAGGGAAAAAAAAAAGAAAAAAGTGCTCAAGGTCACGAGGTGCGCGTGATGTTTTTTATTTGCCCCTCCCATCTTTCCCTGCATAGCTTTCAGCGCTTTTGTCGGGACGAGAGACGAGAGAATGCAATTGCAGTGTGTGACAAAGCTTTGTAACTCCACTCGACTTGGTGGATTCTTAAAATTATTGTTGATGAATTTGTGAGGCAATGAGCTATTCCAATGAATTCATTCCATGGCTACTCAAAAAAGTGCTTCAGGGCCTCTTTAAGAACTCCACGAGGGGTGAAATTATCTAGAGCTCTCCAGTACGGCTTCCCTCACAGCCTGAACTGCTCTGGGATACTAACCGCCATATTCATGAACCGACCTTAACTTATGGCTAAGGCTACTTACGAAAGGACGAGAAAAGTGCAAGTATTAGAAACCTTAACTTATGGCTAAGGCTACTTACGAAAGGACGAGAAAAGTGCAAGTATTAGAAAAGTACAAGGTGCGTTTCAGAAACCTCCCTTATCCTGTCATAAGGGCGCCTTATGAAAGGCATCCTTAACTCGTCAAGTATAGCACCTGGGTGCGAGGGTAGTTACATCTTCGCTACAAAATCATTACCTCAAGCAGCCATAAATTAGCTTTACTGCAAGAAATGCACAACACTATGCACAGAAGCAGCCAAACATAAACAGTAGCAATATTTGTTCAGGCACCGGCACATTTTGGTAAAATACACATTTTTTCGTCTGGCAACTTTGTCTTTGTCAACTGGACGTCTTGTATGTTATTGCTGTGTTCGGTGGTGTTATCATCTTCGCTTCAGCGTTTGCTGTTTTCTTTAACTTCTTTTGGAATTTCACTAGATTTATTTGATAGTTTCAGCCTTTTTACAAGTTTCTTTACGAAGTTGTATTTATTGTGGAACGGTGCTCTGAATATAACTTCACCGACGAAGTGGCTACGTCCTGACAAATTTTGTGAACAAGTACTAAGACGGCCACCATAAGCCTTCAGAGAAAATGAAAAACGTGGAAACAGCTTGCGATGGAATCCAACAGCCGACCCAATGTGCATTTGTGAACGGCTGACCAAACAACTAGAAAAGCGTTTGCACCACTTCGAGAAGTTTTACCGGTATGGAAAAAAGTGTTTTTGCAACGATAGCGGGTATCCGCTCAACTGTATACTCGTGACACAGTCGGCTACGACACACTGACAAGGCCAGTCGCTTCCAAGTTGAAACATGCATAAAAGTGCGATGGATTAGCAGCTGCATGAGAAGAGGCACAAAGAACCCACAACCATGAATGGATATTTTCCTGCAGGAACAGCACAGTGAGCAGATTCTTCATGGCATATTTTGTGAAGCGGGGGTGGCACAAAGATTCCTGCTTAAGGTAGGTCTCAACCAGGTTTCGTCGAACGTTGAGAACTCGCCGCAGTGGTGACGTGTACGCGTATGCTGTGCCGTTGAATACTTCTTTCGCGGTCCACATAATATACAGAATAGGCAAAGTTTTCGTCCCCTGCCATGTTGTTTCAGGAATTAGGATAGGTCATAGGCTACCTTAACCGAGCCTTACTTACGAACGGGGCAAAGTTCCGCGATAAGTACAAGGTAGGTTCTTGAAATGCATTAAAGGTGGACTCGAGGCTAAGGTTGACTTAAGTCATAGGGATAAGGTTAAGTTAGGTTTGTGAATACGTGGGTAAGTCCCACATGCAACTACCAAACTGGGACATTATGAGCATATTTGTGCGTGCAGCTTCGAATTTCATGAGGACGGTGCCCTGGTGATACCCCCTATGCTGCTCACAACTGTCAGCAAGCGAGCTCGCCCGTGCCGTGACGCTCTTGTTGAGTGTGTGCGGAGACGACATTCCCTAGCCCAAATAGAACCAAATCAGCTAGCGCAGCATGAGGAAGGGCATCCTTATAATTCTTTTTTTTTTTAAGCAGGAAGCCTAAGACGTCTTATTTTCTCTGCTTTATGGATATTGCTACAACGGACATTAATAGCTCGAGAAAAGGAAAGCTTACACTGAGACAAACTTTCCACAACTGTATCAACGAGATTCAAGACGGTTGAGCGAGTTGAAAGGAACTTGACCATAAAAGACAAGGTACTACAACGACACATCGAGATGCCACTGCACAGCAACTGATTATTTAAAACCCAGGCATCCTCATTACATCCTTCATGCAATCCTGTCAAGCCCACCTGAGAATGGGTGAGATGGGCCTGGCAACGGGTTCTCCCGCAGCAAGGGCTTGTTCCACGGCTCCTGTGGGGGCCACCGCTGGTTGCCTATCCATCTGTGACATCATTTTCTCCAGTTCGTCAAAAAATTCACCCACGTCTTCGGCCTGCACAGACTGCACGAGGCATGGCACACGCCGATCATTAGACACATACGCAAGTTGGCGCACGGCGTTGGAATCCACCAATTATTCGCGCAGATACATGGCATGCTAAGACAACGCACTGACTATAATAGTCTTGGACAGCCCTCTCCAGGAGCCAAAAGGATTGCAGATAATTCAAATCTCGGTATAATGGTACAGGTTCGACGAATTTTCAGTTGTAAATAAGGAAAATGAGAAAGCATGTCACAATTCTACAGTGCTACGAATATACATTTACAATGAATTTTCTAACGCAACACTTTTGAGTACAGTGCGACTTCATTGAAATGAGCTTTGCTATAGGCCGGCGAGCTCACTGTTGTGTCAACTCTCTCAGATTGAGGTTCAGCGGTGAGTGTGAGTGAGTCTGTGCAAATGCTATACCTTTAGTAAATTTGATTAAGTCCCAAACACAAAATGAATTTCGTGAGTGGGCCTGAGCTAGGCTGCACATTTCTAATTGACCTATGCCTTTTACTGCGTAAAACATACTGACATGTAAGAAAAGTTTATGTCCAGGGGAAGATGGAATAACAGAGAGATCATCAGTGAACATGAGGTATCGGGCGAGCACAATGAACAATGTCAGACGCCTTAAAGGTGCCGTCACACGAGGTCCCACAAGCATGTCGTGAAGGCAATGCAGCAACAGCTGCTTTTGCTACATTTAACACTTTCAGGATCGATGACCAGCATTTACACCACTGCAAGCAAGGGCTAAACAATTTATGCTGCAGTTTACAACGCTGCCTGCAGGAGTACATCCCTAACTTTTTATAAAGAAGTTGCATCTTACACGAATATAAAAAAATTTGTTATAAAGGTATATTGCTAGCACTATACCAATTGCGAGACTATTTTTCAATTACTTCGTTATAAGCAGGAGTGGACGTGCATTTTAGTGTTTTGAAGCAGCTTAGGGAGCAAGAATACAAGTGCTGTTTTGGAACAGCTTTGAAGCAGTAAAAGGGGCATTTCCGAGCAGGTTCCAAGCACCAAGAAGTGTGTTTTGGAGCACTGCAAGTTTTTCAAGCAATGCAGTGAACCGAATATCGAGGATGAGTGAGCTACAGTGGATGTGGATGCGGCCATGTCTTTTGTGTAGCCAATGCTCAGTGTTGCTTGGTAGACGATAATAATTGTGTAGCTTTGATGGTTTACACTTCCAAACGACAATTATAGCTGGAAATTGCCATTTATGCCCAGCCTGGTGCTGTAGGTCAGATGGGCACAGAATGGCGTAATCGGCGCACTGCCACTCCTGTATAAGATATATTTCGTTACATCCAGGTTAGTTATATGGAGGTTTTCAAACAAAACCGTCTCATGAGGGACTAGGTAATGTGGAGATCAATGGGAGAGGCTCTTCCGTTGTGTCAGCACCAGATACGCCGTCCCGCGACAAAGAAAGCACGTAGAGCCGCAGCACAAGCTACGCACGTTAGACCTTGCCAAGAAAACGAAAGGGATTGGCTCTTTTAAAGAGCATGAAATGATGGATTACAGGAAATGACTGTACGTCTGGCGCCATGTGACACACCACGAGAAACCGAAGTTGGTCGGGAGTCGACGTAGACTCCAAGATTAGTCACGTGAAATACACAACACTATAACTTCGCCCCGCAGTGCATAGAGTTTCCTATAAATAGACTAGAGGGAACTTCAGTGCTAGTGTCTATGGGAGCTGCAATGCACGGTTCTTGAGGGAGCATAGGAATGATGGGTAGTACACGGATTTGTTTAATCTTTGTACTTTCGGCTCCATTTGGCTTCCCGTGTCTTGGAGCTGCTTTGTCACGGAACGGCAATCTGCAAAAGTTCAGCAGTTGCACTTCACTGCTTCAACCTCGTAGGCTCACCATTTCAAATCAGCTCATGAAGTTAGAAACAGCCTGTCCTTCAAAACCAAAACCAACCAAACAACAATAAACAAAGCCACAAAGTGCATTTGAAGCCTGCAACCATGAAGACTAGAAAAATTTCTGTACTGTCCCTTATTCCCATGGTGGTTGAACGATTGCAGTGCCACAGACCCCTCTAGTTAACTTTAGAAAACTATACTGCTGCAGTGGACATAGTACGGCCCATAGAGTTTCGAAACATTAACTATAGGGAACCCTGGTGCTGCCATCGTTCAGTGACCCTGGGAATGATGAGTAGTACACAGATTTGCCTTGTCTTTGTGCTTGCGAGCCTCAAACGCACTTTGAGGCCTCGCTTATTGCTGTGCTTTCGGATTTGTTTCGAATAAAAAAACAGCCCGTTTTAAGCTTCAATGGCCGATTTGTAACGGTGAACCTAAAAGGTTATAGTAGTGAAGTGCAACTGCCGAATATTTGCTGACTGTAGTTTCGTGACAAAGCAGTTCCAAGCCACGCAAAGCCAAATGGAGTCGAAAGTATCAAAATTGGACAAATCCATGTACTACCCATCATTCCCATGCTTGCTGAAGCGGTGTGTGTTACCGCTCGCATAGACGCTAGCACCAGAGTTCCCTCGTGTGTATAGATAGCTCTATGGAATAACCTGATCATGGTTATGGGGCCTGTCAGTGCACAAGCATTCCTGCATCGTGCAACTATACCTGCCAGGACTGCAAAGCCACATAGCATTGTCGAGCTGATCGAACCCTAGCTGTGCAGTTTTCGAGGAGTGCGTGCGAAATAAATGATGTCCGTGACAACATTTGCGAATGTAACATTAACAAGCCAACTCCACCGATAACTGATGTATAAGCCATTACCAATGATCACCAACTCCAATTACAGTAGACCCTCAATAAATGAAAATTTGTAAACAAAACCACTGTTTATTCGCAACAAGTACCTGTTATATGATTGCACTTGAACTTGAATTCTGCAGCTCTATTCTTCTCACAGCACACGACATTTGTCTTGAACAAAACATGTTTTCTTAACCCATTCATGTTACATTTGTTAAGAGCCTTTTATACTATATCGGCTAGCTCATACAGAAACCATGTTCACCTACTGTGTTTACTCAATTGCCACGCAACCTCAACTGTACTACGAGAGATGACCTTTCATTGCATCCACGAAAAAACAAAAAACAAGAAATAGAGTGCAGAAGCTTGGGCTAATAGGTGTGGGTTCACAATGGTAGATTTTACAGCGCATGCCATATTCCCATTGTTCCTATGCCCCATTTTTTTTTATATGTTCTTGCACTGTAAAATTAACTGTCATGAAAAATAGTGGTATTACATTACACTCCATCCTCACTATAAGTATATTGCATCTTAGGAGAAAAGTCCGTTACCATATCCAAAAATTCACTATAAATGAATATTTTTAACACTGTATCTAGTGCAAGACCATTGTTCGTTCACTTCGTTACAACTGGTATTTCGTTATACCCAGGATCATTATATCAAGGTTTGAGTGTATTCGATTGTTGTGTGGGTGTTTACTTAGGGTAGAAAATCTGAAAAAAAAAAAATCTCGTAGCATTAAAGTATACACGGTAATATCAGTGTATGGCACATATGTTCCATCAACTTTCCCAAGCAGCGCTACAGTATTTCATTTTCTGTCTCAACCAACATCACTCAGGCGGTCCGAAACACGGCTGCTCCCAGGAGTCACTCAATTTGATATGAAATGTGCTTGCCTCGAACGGGATCATTTCGTCCTCCAGCATCGCGGACTGCATTGTGGGTTGCTCTTCGCGGAGCGTGATTCTCTCAGGCGTCCACCGTCAGCCCAGCGGGCATTTCCACAGCTTCGTCACCTGCAGGACAGTATCGATGATTGAAGTCTGAAACTCGCAAAAGAGCTCCGAAGCACACACAGGAATGCTAATAAAGGAATAACTGACAGCTACCCGTTCGTAGCCCGAAAGCACCCAGTAGTCCACGAGATTTCTCATGCGGATTTCTCAGAAAGAAAGCTGTTTTGTTACCAAAAATTCGTCCTGGTCCAGGATGTGAACCTCAGACTTTCTGGGACCAGTTGCTATACCTGGTAAGCTAACCAGAATGGTAGAAAGGGGCAGTGCGAAGACAAATTAGTCAACAACTAAACTAAAAGCATATTGACATGAAATACACCCAAGTGTCATTATAACAAAGTTGCATCTTACAAGAAAATAAGTTTGTTATATCCGGAAATTTGTTATAAAGGTATATTCTTAACACTAGGTCTATTGCAAGACTATCCTTCATTTTCTTCGTTATAACAAACATTTCATTACACCCGTGTTCATTATGTTGAGGTTTGAGTAGTTAGAATGAGCTGCGCAGAATCTTGCAAGAGGTCCTGTGCAAAATCCCTGCCCCAAGAGATTCAGTGCAGGACGCCCTGTGCAATTTCACGAGAGATTTCGTGCAGGGTTTCTTAGGATTTTACGTGACACATTCTGCACCAATGCGTTTCAAGTTGCTGACTGATTCACCGTCGTGCTGCCAAGTGCTGGCTTCTTGGTTCGCTCAGTTGGTAGAGCGATCACCCAAGAAGTCGCTGGTCTCAGGTTTGCACCCCAGACCAGGACGAAAGCCAGCTAAATCAGTTTTCACTATTGCGATACCTTCCAGGCAAGTCCGCTGTTTCGTCATAGCTACGGCCTCTTGATCACTTCGGCTTGCTATGTGCTGTTCACGGCACTTTCTCCTGCTGGATAATGTACTCATGAAAGTTGCCACACATCATGAAGTGACGAAGCCTCTCTCCTAGCAACCGCCTAGCCACCGCAACACTGCTTTGAGCGTGTGATTTGTGCGAACTTCATGTTCCTTAGCGTGAGGCGAATTGCTGGGCGTGCATTGAATGGCAAACGTTCGGGACCATCCAGTTAAGGATGGTCCGGAACGAATCCAGGACATGTAGCTGTCCCGACAAGGACGGCGAAGGGCTCTGAATGGTGCATCAAAAGTAGGCGCAGTCACGCAAAACCCAGGACGATTGGCAACACTGCATCACAATCATGCAAGAGGGAAAATCAGGAGGAAGCACTGCTCGACAAGACTGAAGATAGAATGACGTCATGTGTGGATTTCAGCCCTACACATAACATCCACATCGGTACACACAGTACATTCAGAGCTATGGCGGCATAGACACACATCTGCCAATACACTGCATCTCATCGATAGTATGCCAAAATGACACCGCTGGCTTCGTGAAGTGTTCTTTTACTAAGGCTGTCTGTATAACTCAATGCTGTCCTAATTTTGTTCTTACTCCATGACCATGATTCTACAAGTCATCTCCAAAAGCACCACGGCTCAAAATGAAGTTTCGCAGCCATTTTAAGTATTAAGCATCTACGGACAAGATGCTGCAACCACCGCAACGGTGTATCCACAGGCCAAATGCTCGGCAAACCAACGATTGCCTCGCAGAATCTAATGCAATCTTGTTTATAATAACATGGCCTCCAAGATCCATTCCCCATTCACCTAGGGTTGCCACTTTCCCTAGAAAAAAAAAAAATGGGGCCGGTCACCGAGGGACCCCGAAGTTGAGGTTGTGTGCAAAATCCATGTTACGTCCATGTTAATCTTTGACACGCGATGAAATTTATTGTACCCGCCTTCAACATTAACATAATATCTCCACGTACATACAAACACAGCACTGAGCGAATAAATTAGTCTCTGGTGGCAAGCGCACAAATATCATGAGTCTTACAATGTTTGCACTCAAAATGAGCGTTAAATTATTACGTATGCTGAACAAAATATTTGCCGCACAGGTTTTCAGCCAAACTAAAAAATTGGATGCTGAAATCTGTAGACACAACCTTCATTTCAGACAGAAACTTGCAGAAAATGATGAATTTAATGTGCTTTTTCACAAACCGCCAGCGCCTTAAACTAGCATGCCTTCAACTTCCTCGAATGGCCGTGCCTACAACAGGCGTGCCAACAATGCCATTCAGTTGTCCGCAACTCTCAACCCGCTCAGCCCCCACTACGATTCCTAAAACCACTACGAACGGCACCTGCATCGAACAATGTTCCCAGGTGAGATAAAGCCCCTAAAGAAGGTGTAACACCTCAGCGTCTTTGTGGAAGAGGGAGAGTGGGATATAAAGGAGAGGTAGAGCAAGGGAGGTAACGGACACGAACACGG